TGGGAGAAGAGATGGCACCACACTCCAGTAGTCATCAAAGCACTTACCTGGGGAGGGAAATTTCCTGCTTCAATTTTTCCATGGAGCTGATGGGGAAGTGACTTAATCTGTGGTTCTTCTGCATCCTAGGTGAGCCCTCTTCTCATGGTGGCTTTGCCCCCCACCAAAATTCTTACTGTGGAAGACCTACAGATCAGTCTTGGTTTAACTACTGGCAAAAATTATTCTTTCAGTAATGGCAGCAAATAATATGCACAATAGCAGGCAGCAAAGAATACATTTTTACCACGATAGACAGAAATGTGGACAAGTTAAAGTGCATTTTCTATCCTGTTAAGAATAAATTAGCCTCTCTTCTCCACAACTTCCCTACCCCAGCTTGCAAATTTGCCTCGTGGAAATCTTCCTTGGGATTTTGTGGAAAACTGCTTGATCAGGTATAGGTGATTCTATTCTATAAGTGACTTTTCAGCACAAATAGATGGCAAGCTATACTACCAAGACCGAGTTAGGGGATTAAGTTCAAATCATACGCTGAAAAGAATCCCTATTTAGTGATCCTCAGAGTGAAAGCTGTATGTAAACAAAATGATGTGAAACACAAAAAGCAAAAAGTATCTTCCACACCGAAACTGCAGCTTCCTGAAAGCCAGTGGGATTTTGTGTGGGTGATAAAGTTTACACAGTTAGAGCTTTGTGAAAACAAATCCTTTGAGAGAATCTGCTGCTGTGACTATAAAATACGTTAAACAATTTTTAAAACCCTTGAATTCTAAAGATGTTATTGGATCAAACAGAGTTATATTTATTTATGGCAGTACTGATTTTTCTGTGTTATCTTCTTTTAAGAAAAGCCTTCTTGACTTATCTCATGCTGGATAAATGTCTTTTATTAACCAGAAATTTCTTGTTTTGAGACATTCTAGAAGTGATAGAAATGTAATAATATTAAATGTCATTAGAGAATACAATCCCAAAAACCTAGTCAAAGAAAAGATATCATCAATTAATAGCAAGAGGGAAAAATCCAGTGTGTTTTTTGTCTCATAGATACTGATCATGGTTCTATCTTCTTTTTATAACTCACATGTAGGAAAATGGATCAACTGCTGCTGAATTCTTCCATTTTCTCAATATCTAAGAATATGTAAAAAGCTACTTTTGCTCACCAATTCCTGATTTGTGAATTATGAAAAACCTGGAAGAGAAGCATTTTCCCCAAAGGCCTCTGGATTAAGCACTTCTCAGTCTAAATATTTGGCTCTTTGCCACTCACTGGCTTTATCAATCATTTGCACTTACACAGTACTTTGGAAACACTATTAAAGTTATGTCTTGTCTCATTCCTGTGTGAAAGGCAAATATCATGCCATATTCATTAGAAAATGTGGATGGATTTATGTAGAAACCAGTATTTGCCTGTGTTTTTTCCTTCGTTTTCTATTTTCACAGAGAACAGGATTGCCATGTCGTTTAACATGTGCTTATTCCTACAGATTGAATCCATTCTAAATTCATAGGAATATGTATATATAAAGTCACAGCATGATGACTCTCAATTTATTTTGGGGTAACCCCTTTGTAGTTCTAATGCCAAGGTAGGCCACGTTCCTCATCTTCTGCCTGGGATGTAGCATTCCTGCAATAACATTCTAGGCTATCCTAATTGCTGAAGAATATTAAAGCAGTGATATTGCTCATTGGAAAATGAAACTCAGACATTAGGACAGGGTTAGGACCTGGATTGGAACCTGTTACTTCCTTACGTGTATTGGCAGCTTATGGTGGATGTCAGAACTGTCCGGTGTTAATTTATTTAAAATACATATTGGTCTTCATATGCTGTGCATGGACAGAGAAAGTGGAAGCGAACGTACTATAGACAGGTAAACATATCATAGAATCATAGAGTGGTTTGGGTTGCAAAGATCATCTAGTTCCAAGCCCCTGCCATGGACCTGCGGATGCATCTCATCAGGTTCCATGGATTTGTACACTTTCAGGTTCCTTAGATGGTCTCGAACCTGGCCGCCTTCTACATGGGTAGTTCCTCATTCTCCCAGTCCCTGCTTTTGTCTTTTGCACCTTGGGTAGTGTGCACCTAGAGCACTTGCTGGTGAAGACCAAGGCAAAAAGGTCATTGAGTACCTCTGCTTTCTCCATGTCCCAGGTAACCAAGTCTCTCATCCCCTTCCAGAGAGGACCTAGATTTTCCCTAGCCTTCCTTTTATCACTGACATACCTGTAGAAGCTTTTCTTGTCGCCCTTGATGACCCTGGCTAGATTTAATTCTATCAGGGCTTTAGCTTTCCTAGCCTCATCCATATATGTCTATATATAATGGAAATTATGCATACATTCAACTTCACATTTTTCTTTGTACACAATAAAAGATATTTTTACTCAGAGAGTGCATTTCAAAATTAGTGTGTTATAAAAATTAAGATTTATTTATTCATATTTATTCTTAACAAATTTTAAGAATTCCTGAATAACTCCTTCCTCCACTCCCCCATGTCCCAGTGATGCTATTTTTCAGTTTGTGTTGAAAATGGTGTGATACAAATTTCCGGGTTTAGGGAGGTGTCAAAAGGGAGAGATGGGAGCACAAAATTCATCTGGTGACATATTGCATCCCTGCATCCTGTGCTGATCCTCTCCAACACACTGGAGCAGGCTTTTCGCTCAAGCCCACATGTGGAGCCTGGCAGCCCCCAACTTGTTCTCCAGAGGCCCCACTAGTCCCAGACTGGCCCAGGTACTTCAACTGAAAAAGTGGGGAAGCACAGAGTAAGTATTGGGGAAATGAGGCAGTTACTTTGAGGTACAGGGCACAAAAAAGGCTTTATTGAAGGAGGCCCCCCAGTTATTTACTTTGCTGCCTCTTTCTCCCCTTTGGGAAGGTTGAGGAGGCTCAGCCAAGAGCGCTCACCTTCTGTCAGCTCTGGCTTTTCATGTTGCTGTGAATTTCTCTCATATTCCAAGCATGTTTGCTGGACTCTCTCTATTATGAAGAATTTTAAAGAATAAGTAAGGAAATAAGGGAAGAGAAAACATCTGATCCCAGACCAAAATAGTTTTGTTACAGTTCTGACTGCTATGTTTGACATGTTAAATTGAATACTAAAATGGGGCCAGGTAGGTCAGGAGTCCTGTTTTGCACTTCTGGCTTCTGATTTAGAAGAAGTAATGGTAACCCTCTCAGTCAAATTGACAATAGCAGTGCCATTCAGTAAAGGATCAAGACCTCTTTTCTTTAACCTGCTAGCAATTTGTCTTGGAATAAGAGGTAATTACTAGCCAAGATCTGAAAAACATTGTTTATGATTTTTTGTTTTTCTCTTTAGCATTTAGATTTTTTCCCCCCATCTTTTACCCAACAAGACAACTCCTTTAGTAATATAAGTATTTATTATTTTTATTAGTATACATTCTAATTAGTATACATTCCAATAGCGCTACTATCTGCCTATTTTTTTTTTTAGATGTACGTCAGTGTAGATAACAGTTATATCAATTGCTACCTACAACATAATTAATACTCAGACAGGATTAAAAGGGAGGACTATCTGGACCTCGCATCGTTTAAGCTAAATGCTATGATTGAGTTTTAGTGCTTGATTTACAGAAAATTAATATGAAATGGTCATTAATCTCACCAAGAATGAAACATCTCTTTTCATGAGGAAAACCAAGATGTTTTATTTTTGAGTGGAGCATTTTATTTTTCAGTTCTACCGGCAAATCTCAAAGCAGTTATTCATAGAGTTCTTGCAGTGAGTATCCTGATCTTGCTTCAGAATCTGATTTTCTTGCATATTTCTTGCAATATAATAAACTCCATTCTTCTGAGCCAATAAGTTCTTTTCCCAACTCCCAGCTGCAAAGAAGATATTTGTGATTCAGGCTATTGTTGTTCATGCCTTACACATATAGTGTTGGAAAAGTGTTTTTTTCCTTTTCTTTTTTTTAGCCAGCCTCCCACTCCAAAGTAACTTTACAGAATAGACAATAGAAATTCCACACTCTATTTATTTTCTGGGAGTTCCTTTCTCCTGTTCAAACACAAGACTAGGAAACTTACACAGCAGTAAAATATGACCTTTATCAGGGTTTTTTTTTTGAAAGCACTTTTGGAGACTATATTTCCCCCTAATTTTGCAGTGTGTCTGGGAACATTTTGATCTTTTTGGAAAGGAAACAATGCCAGTTGTGTCATCTGTCGGTGCTATAAGGGCCGAGTAGAAGAAAGGGGCCTGAAGTAAAGCTCCACGAGAGGAAAAGGCAAGCTGAACACCTAACTGCTTCAGGGGAGAGGAACCACTTGCCTGGTTGTTATGTGCATCATGATGATTGGCATCTGCCAGTCAATACTTGCAGGTCTCTGGTTGGTTCTCAAAGAGGTAGGGCTCATAAGATGAGGCTGTGAGCAAAATGGGAGGTTAGCATTATGTGGGAAGTACATGAAAGAGAAGTAAAAACCTCATGGAAGGACACAAGAATTGCAGCTGGGGAGGCAGGAGGCAGGGAAGGCTGTCAGAAGGACAGAAGGTACAAAAACACGAACTTCATGAGTTCAGCTGCCTTCTGGATCCAGCTAGCAACAGCCTGTTATTCCAGATGTTAGGCTCTGTGGTTAAATACACTGGTATCTCCATCAGTAAGTATGTTAGGTATGAAAAAAATGTGTAGCTAAATGGATTTTGCATCTATTTAGTGTATAAGTTGCTCATGCTATGAAAGTAAGAGAGCAAGTACAGGGAGCAGATGATCCTAAAAGGGAACACGTCAAGGCAGGAGCACTTGCAGGTGTGTGTGGGGTCAGTTACTCTGATGAAAAATATTTTTATCTTTGATCTTTTTATAGCTTCTCCTTGCCTACATTACTGATACTACTTTCTTATATGTTCTCTCTGTCACACCACTTTCATTTATTTCCCTACCAATTTTGTTGCCATGCGTAACATGCACTATTGCTTACTCACCAGTTAGTCACAGCCCTGGCATTTACAGCTGCTTAGTTCATGGGTAAATTTGGCCCACACCATCCGCCCAGCTGGACATGGACAAATTAAGAGTGAACTTATTTTGTATAATACGATACAGTACATTTTATCTTAAAGCTGGCTATGAATAAAAAAAATAATAATTTTTCCCCAAATGCTTGATTAAAGCTTGAGGGGTAAATTTGCAACAATGTGTGTGGGGAGTTCCATAAGTAAATCTTATTATTGTTAACAGGATTTTGGTATTTATCTCTCCACACAGCTTTTAATATATCTCAATAACAATAATTTGAAAAGGCCCACTAATGTCATAAATACCGTAAAGAAGAAGTTTGCAAAATTGTCTTCTGGTCTGCTTTCAGATTTGGATTAACTGAGAGCAGGTCATTTGCAGTATTTTCCAAATTTGGGTAACAAACTGCCATATATTTACTCTATTCCATGACAATGGATAACTTCTAACTTGCTATGTAATTTTGGAGCAGATCTGTTCCAAATAACAGAATCTGCTTAATTCCCATGATATCACTTAGGCCCTGATCTTGCAATAACATTTGCACAGATGGACTCCTGTATCCAGACCGAGCCCACATATGCCAAGGAGGCTCCACACAATGAAGGCATCGGCTCATGGAAATCCAATTGCAAGATCAAGACCTTAATTCCCTTTAGTTTTGTCTCTTCCTAATGAGAGCTGTCAATTACTTATAGCAATTAGGTGGGCAATGGATGTTAATGGGATGAGATTTTAAATATGCTACTTCAAAATTATATGAATAAATCATACAAATTTCTTTTCCTGTCTTTTACCATATGTCCTCCTTCAAATCCATATCATTTGTTTTACATCTGTTAAAAGAAGGCACATAATGTACAGGTACCGCAGTTGACTTTGAAGGAGTTTAAAGGTGATGCATCAACTTTTCAATAACTGCCACAAAGGAGATCTTTTAGCTAACAACGGAATTGTTGGATTTGAAAAGGAAGTTATGGATGTGCTAGTAAAGATGCTCCATTTTGTTCTTTCTTTTTATGTTGCCAGTGCTCACTTGTGAAACAAAACTTTCTACACTAAATTGATATTAATTTGTACATCAGAGGGAATGAGACTGTAATGCTTATTCTGGTTACAAGGGCATGATTCACCCCTTCATTCCGTATGTTTAAGGTTGGTGTCATTTATTAATATCAGTAGAAATCTGATGGGGTATCTATCATTTCCTCATAAGGCAGATACCATGCAAATAGTTGGCATTAAAATGCAGGTTTAAATCAATTGTCTTGAATTTAATGCAACCTTATGCAAATGATATATTATAATATGCATCTTAGTATGCTGGCACTGGATGTCTCCTGTGGAGAAAACAAGCTTAAGTTAAGCAGATATGCCTTCATACTGCAGAGTGCTCAGTTGCTGGATCAGGTCAGTGTTAGAGAATTACAGGTTCTGATATTCTAAATAGAGCCTTTGCAGAGAGCACCATTAAATAACTGCACAGATCTATTCATTTTTCCAAGCAGAGGCAATAATTGGTAACTGCTGGCATTACGTACAAACACTGTGTTCCTCCAAGAATAGCCCAGTGTGATTAGCTCTCAGTAGATCGGCTGTTCTTTTACGAACTCTCTTGAGTGGCTTTTTGTCTATACGCATTCACAGATAAAGCCACTGTAACTGAGCACAGCTGATGAGTCATCTCACTCAGTTCTGTACATCTGTTCCAAAACAGTTCATTGTTTTCTTGAAAAAAAGAACAAACTTCTATTTTTAAGAAAGTCTGGGTTCACAACATTGTTATTAAGAAAAAGCTCAGGCAGACATCTTATAATCTTAGCCTGTGACATGAAGAACACTCCCGCTTCAGTCTAACGGTAATGCTTAGTCTAAAAATGCCTTTTTGACATTGTTTTTCCATCTGTTGACTTTTCTCTCTCTTACCTAAATGCAGAATTCAAACTGTGTTTTCCTCCCTAAATCACATTTTAGTTCCAGAGATTAGGGATGATTCAAAAGTAATTGAAAGCAGAATGCAGCTGGAGTGCTCATCTAGTTCATGTATAATAAGGACTCTTGCCACTTCTGCCCATTTTCTGGTCTTTTGAAACACAATATTTCAGCAGGCTATTTAGTTCACACTTCTTCAAACGTCCATGGATACACACAGCTAGAAGGCCAAGAGTTTAACCTTTTATTTAATAATAGAAAACTGTGTATCCCTGCACTATTGAGGAGCCTGGAAGGATAATAAAAATGTATACTAGAGCTAAATCCTGTACTATGTCTTAAAATTATTAATTACAATGGATAAATGTATATCTATGGCTACTGGTGTACTATAACAGAATACTTTACCTTGCAGCTCTGGTGGGTAGAGCCTAAATGTTTCCAGTTTGTTTAATATTGATTTAGCAATCATCAGAAGAGCTTTAATGCTTACAAACGAAATCATTTGTTTAAATATTTGTTTAACTCTTAGACACTAATGTCAACCCGATGATTGCTAACTCAGTAGTTGAATACGATCAAAATTTGGGAATTGAGGATATAGAACTCATCAGTTGTAGTAAAAGTGGAGTATAATTGATTCTGCTTTTGAGCTGGGAAATAGACTTCTTGACTTCCTCGTACTGCTCTGCAAAGATCAGACTCTCAAACACTAAACCATAACACTTTCGCAAACAGTAGGATTTTAATTTTCACAATTAATGTGTTGTGGATTTATTGAGGCTTTTAGGACAGTAACTGGAGCAAACTTGCTTGGTAAAATAACAAAAGTGTGAATACAGACAGAAGTTTTGGTAGTTAACAACATTCTTTGGAATAATAACTAAAAGCAACCACAGATGCAGCTGTTTTCTAAAAGATCAAACCAGGTGAAAGGGAAATTTTTAATGGTGGAATGGAGAAGTGGTCTGAAGAGTTGGATGGAGTCATAATTGCATTTCTTGAGGGGAGACATTAATTGTTTGCAACACAGTGTTACAGGCAAAGTGAGGAGGGCACTTTTTTCTTCCTCTTTGGAGTTTAAAGTAGAAAAGAATATTTTGTTCACCTCAATACTGCAAGAATCAGACAATTTCTCTTTCTGAAAATGTTCCTGGGTCTTTCAGCTCTCTCTTTGGCCTACTGCATTTAGAGACCAGTAATGCAAGAGACCATAAGATTTCACAGGAAGATAAGACTGGTGAACACCACCTGCATCTTTGCATACAGTCTCTTTCCAGGCAAGGATGTGATAAAATCTCGTAAACAGATCAATTGCCAAGTAAAAGCTGACCTTTTAAAAACCACTGGCCATATAGGGAGGCCATTGAGAATCTCAGTGTTCTCACAGCTGGAATACAGCAAGCATAATTTTATTCATGGATTGATGTCCTTGTGTTGATATTGTCCTTTAGCTTAAATAGCTGTCCGTCTAATACAGTGTATTGTAGCCATAGCCTTGCTCAGTGTTTGCTTCATTAAGCTAAAGAGCTCAGGCTTTTTTTCCTTCTTTATGTAATCTTTCTCCTGGTAAGAGTTAGTTTTACTTCCTCTTTCTTCTGAGGTTGGAGCACGCCACTCCAGCTGGCATCTTTATGTCTCTCACACAGCATTCAGTGATTTCCTAGGTCCCTTGGGGGCTGAAAATGGTGAATGTGGTGTTCATGTTGCAGCAGTTGAAAATGAGAATGCAGGGTTTGTTTTATAAAGCATCTCCAGGTTTTGTTTTTACATTATAAAACCTTCAGCAGTTGGGTACTGTTTTGAGATGTAACACCTTGGTCAGCTTGACACTCCCACAGCTTTGCACAGCTGAGGGAACCAGACTGATGTTTCCTCAGTAAAAATGAGACATTACTGGTGCCCTTGTGTCAGCAAAGCATCTTGAACTTTGGAATTTATTCCCTTCCTGGATTGTCTTTCACCCATCCAGTCTAGATTTATTAACCTTGCACACTGCAAAGTTTCTATTTCTAATCTCTCCAGTCTGAGGGAAAAACACTTGTTGACAGGTACAGGAACTATTAAGCCCAGTTGGCCAAATATCCATTTATTTTGTACTCTGCTTTCATAGGAAACCAAGGTTATGCTGCATGTAACCGCATACGCATATCAAAGCTGTCTGTCCATTTGTCCCCCACACCTACAGGAGAACTTTTGAATTAGTTTCCTGATTCCAACCAAATTTGACTGAAGGGTAAAGTTTACACAGATTATTAAGTTCCTGTAGGATTTTGTGAAAGCAGGTAGGTGGGTATCAATTCCTTTCCAACTGTGGGAAAACTGCACTGTAAATTTAGACTTTATGAGACAGCAAAGACTCTGTGCTCAGGAGAAATACTTTATGAATGCTCAACCTTGGAAAAGTTTCAAGAATAAGTTGTATCTCCTTAGACTCTGATATCCATAAGAAAACTAGTTTCCTTTGTCTTGGAGCTCGAGGGGCCACTTTGTAAACTGTGTTAGAATTAAACAAAACTGTATGTCTTAAATATTTGACTAAGTATTCTGCTCTCACATCGTGTAGGTATGTCTCTCTTGAGTTCTTCTGAACTCTTGCTATTTGTAAGCCTGAGCAATCAATCACAATATCTCTAATACTTATACAAAATCACAACTTCCACATCTGGCTGCTTGCCTGTGCACCTGATGATTTCTCTGGAGAAACTGTATAAATTAAAGACAGAAAAGTAAAGGGTCTTGTAAAAGTAAAAGCATCACAAATATACTTAAAATACTTACGGTTCAGAGGAGAAAATGTATGGTCTTTATACTTGGGGTTTAGCTGAGATTTATTTAAGGAGCCAGAAGAGAGCTGACAATAGTGTAAAAGAAACAGTAAAAAAAGAATCACAATTGTACAGTTCAAACAGAGAAGTAAGAATGAATAAAACCATCTGTCAAACTCATGCGTTTTTGTGTCTCTGGAGAATGCTGTGGCCATACCCCTTCCCCCAGGCTTGATCATTAGCAAACTTTTTACTTATGAAAACAGTAAAAGGCTGTATAGTGGCTATGGTAAAAAGCAAGGCACAGAGAGAGGGAAGTAAGACTTTTAGATCAGCTCGAAAGCACGCGTGTTGCTCTGTGTGCTAGTTATTTTTTAAAAATGTCTGAACTGTCATTACTGAAAACTTTCTCCTGTCAGAGAATTTCTGTTTCTCTGACTTCTCCCACCACATTGTGTGCTTTTGTTAGAGAAGAGAAACAAAGTTCAAATAAACAAACAGCTCTATCTATGATAGTTTAGTTGCACTGGTGTTAATTGGGCAGGGATTTGGGTTTTTGCTCACTGGTTGTAACTCTCAGTGTCTCATGTTTTTTTGTTTTACATATTTTTTCTTATTAAGCTTTCTTTTTGACTGGAACCCAGACACTGGGAATGTTGAACTGCCTCTTCTGGCTGAGTTGTAGACAATGAACTCAGACCTGAACTTTTAATGCTTCCTGTAGAAAGTACTTCAAAAATGTTATAGAAGAACATTTATACATGCATATTTCTAGTACACATACCCATTCTGTAGAAGTCTCCCTCTGCAAACACACCTATTCTGTAGAAAGTCTCTCTCCCACCTCCATACAGACCCTATTCCAAGGATATATTTTGTTCAGTTAAGGTCTTCATCAAATTGTGGAATCAGAAGATGAAAAACAAGAAACATGATGGACACTTTTCACAGCAGACTGTTTATTTATTTAGAGAGAAGTTTTCCTTTTATTACCTTACCAGGAATGTTTCTTGTTTCCAACAGGACATTGGAACAGAATGTCACTCACAGTCACTTGCCTGATTTATTTTTAGTGTGAGACAGGAGCAATCTGCCACGGTGCTGGTGCAATGCCTTCAACACTGTTCTCCCAGCTGCAGGAATGAAGCAGAGAGAGAAGTTCCCTATTTTTCATGGTCTTGTCTCCATATAGAAAAGAGAGCCATTAATCCCTTTAAAGCACTGCCCAGTCTAAAAATAACTGGGACTCGGAAGCAAAAAAAAAGCTTTGCTTCCTGCCTTCATGCAGAGGTGAATCACTGCGTGGCCCATATTTATTTATGTAGCAGTATTACCTTTATGTGATTAGCTTCTGTTCTTCACTTTCATCTGCAGTAATTGTACTTTGCATTATGAATTAAATGACCGATTGTGAGTTTGAGATGACAGAAAATTGGCTTTTAGAGAAATTGTTCTTTCACCTCTCAGCTTTGGAGAACTTATCTTCAAAACTGAGCCCTGCCTGTCATATTCAGGACAACCCTATTGTGTCCTTCGTCTGAGATTCTGATGCCAAAAGCATTTGTTGCCTGCTTGAACACAAAGACAGAAATCTTCTACAACTCCTAATGGTATCCTGGTATCTATTATTGTGATGTCTTTGATTTGTATGTGAATCTCAGCTTGTGGTGAGCTATGAGTTGACCTGTGTGGCTTCTCACAGTCTGTGCCAACCCATGGGAACATGATATTGGACTCAAGTGCAATACCAACAATTGCTAACTTGAATACACGTCTTTTGCTGTTCCAAACCCATTGTATTCCTATCAGTATCGATTAATCTGTAGATTGTGCAAATTCCAGTTTTTAAAGTGGTATCTGCTATCAACATAACTTCATGCTCAAAACTCAAGATTTAGAAAAGGTCCTGGATATATTAATTAGATGCACGCTACTGTTACAGGTTATTGGAAACAGTCTGGGTGGATACAGAAATTTACAGCTCCCCCTTCTAATGAGGTGCTGACAGGGAAGGCTGAGCTTGTTGGGAGATAACAACATTGGGATTTGTTCTGCTTCCAACTGGAGAAGGTCTGTTTGCAGACACGATTCATTCCAGAGAGGTCTGCACAAACAGCAGCCCTGCTTGGAAATCTGTCAATGGTCAGGCATTTTTAGCAATGCCTTGTTTCCGTTGCAGAGCATGACTGCAGTGGAACAGAGTAAGTAATCCATCAATCCAGCTTGAACTTTGACATTGGGCACCATTGTCAGGCTCCATTGAAAATACATGACCAACTATGGGAATGGAATGGATCATCTTAACACCTTCTCGGGTGGGGAAAACATAATGACAATCTGAGATTTGAACAAAGTATTTTCCTTCAGAAAGCTGACACTTATAAAGAACAAGAGGCAAAGCGAGAGCACTCCCAGATTTACCAAATCCTGTTGTTATTACTCAATACACACACGCATAGATACGTGGACAGAGCTTGTGGCCAATGTATACCCTACTCCTATAAATCAAAACTTCTGAACTATCATCTAGCCTTGACCTGTTGTCTGGCTGGTGGGTTGGCATTGTGGAGAAAAGTGTGTGGCATATCTGATTAGAAACTCACTGTGGACTGTAAAGTGGATTTCAACTATTCCTTCTAAAAAAAATTACTTCACAAGGCAAAGGCTTCTTTTAAGATTTAAAACGTTGTGAGGAAAAATATTCTGACCCTGACACTACTTGTCAAATATGCCTTGAAAGTTTTGTTATGATTGAAAGTGCACAGACTTTACGCTTATGTGACTCAGTAATTTTAAGCACTTAAATGACCTGGAAGACTGTGCCTCATTTTAGGAAGAAACTAAAACCCCAGATTGTCCAACTTGTTCCCAGATTAAACGATTTCAGATGCTTTAGAAACGCACACTGATTTTAACTATGGTTTATTTTAACTTTCTTTGACAAGTCATGTAGGGATGAGTAATAAAAAGATATTAGCTCCTCCAGATGTCCTATTTTGTCACAGCTCAGGCGGCTTCAAATGCCACATCTGCTTGCTCCTCTCCCAGCAGTGATTCCTGCCCCAGACTCTGGAGGCCTCTATTGCTCTCTGGCCTGGCTCCCCTTCAGCCCCCAGCCCAGGCCATTCCTTCAGTGTAATTTCCACATCGTGTCTGTCCCACCAGCAGCTTTGCCACTCCTGGGGGTGTTTTCCATTCACAGAGGTAGGTGAAGGAAGCTCATGGAGGGGAAGAAAGTGCAGCCTGCCCATGGTGGGCCCTCATCCTCCTCAGCGAGAGCAGCAGGTGCCAGTGAAGGGGCAAGGGAAGAGGTCTGCCTCCCCTCTGGAGCAAACTTTCAATCCCAGGAGACAGGGCTTTTCCTCTGACATGCCAGAGTGTCTTCTTTCTCCAGAAGCCAAGGTTTATCTCCCATCAAACTCTTGCCATATTCCCCCATGGCTCCTAAAAACCAAGAGTTTTAAGTGAAGGATTTAGGTGTTTTGGAAAATGTTGTGCTAATACTTCCCAGCTGAAGTAAGGAGTTGATGAGAGGTTTTAAGTGTAGGATTGAGGTGTTTTGGAAAATGTTTTGCTAATACTTCCCAGCTGAAGTAAGGAGTTATTTGTGTTGACTGTTTCCTGGTTTTTCTAAGGCTTTGGAAAACTTTTGTATTGACAACCTTTTACTACCTTAATAATGACATGCCCACAGATGTGCAGTTGAATTTGACAACTCAAATCCTCTGACTGTGAAGGAACGATAGTAAGATTGAGATGATGGGTGGGGTCATCCTGGAATCCAAAAGCAAAGCAGGGCATGTGTCCTCCTGGCAAAGGTATCCATACAGAGAGGAGGTCCAAGGAGGTCCCTGACCAGCCTTCACTGCTGTGCTGTGCATTCACATTAATGGCAATATTGAGATTTAAATAGCCTTAGAACAATCAAACATGGATTAATGATGCTTAGCTCTGCAGGAACATATAGATCTTTAAGTCAAAATGAGATACTTCAGAATAAATATGTTGTAATTTTTATTTTGATCCCAGGAAGATCTTGGAATGAATGGGAAGCTTATTCTTATTTCTGAGTACTACAGAATAATTGATTCTTCTATGGGTGATAATTGAAAGGGTGTTAGCAGCAGTCTTAAAGGTCACAGACCAATAGGAATATCATTTTCATATTTTAAACAAAATCATGCTGTTGTTCTTATGAGCTCATTGCCTTCTACTTTAAAGGATATATTTAGTAGTATATGATCTTCCTAAAAATTTAGCAAGTACATGTTTTGATTCCATTTATTCAGGTTTATAGTTTAACATATGCATTTACACATACTGCTTTAAACACAGCAGGAGGGAAGCACTTTTCATTTTATCCGTCTTAAGTTTTTGCGCTTATTTTCATCTCTTCCCACTGTGCTAAGATCCTCAGAAACATTAACATTTTTGATCCTGTAATATTAATGAATCACATCAGCATCGTGTTGTAAGTCTCTGTATTTCTCTCCCCCATCTCCACAGTACTTTGGCTTCCTCCCCACCCTATTAGCTTAACTCACACCCCCAGAGTTGCATTGATTTTATCAGTGGTGTTTAAATATGCTACTGTTACTGAGGGGTTAAGCAGGTAGGATGATTGCACTAATAAAAATTGATAAGTAGTCAGGTTATCCTTCCTAATTTATTGCCATGGCAACAGACAGCACATGTGGCTTGTTGCTGAAGAACAGAATGCTAATAATCAAATGTGTCTTACCCAAATGAATATATAACACAGCTTAGTAATACAGTGCCTTGACATTGTATACATTACTGAACAGCAGCATGCATTAATTCTGCATCTAAGTTACTTGATGCATATGCTCTGGAGAACAGGAAAAATGAAAAAGCACGTCTGCTACATCAAAGCTGTTCATTAAAGTAATGTATTTTAAATAGTATATACAGTGGAAGATCCAATTCTCCAACACTTATCTTGTTTATTTCAGTAGGTGGTCGGTATACTAGGAAAATGCAGTAATGCATAGTCATTGTGAGATGGCATAAAAATAACCAACACAGCACAGGAGTTCAATTAAGCAATAATCTCTGGGAAAAAATGGTCATTACTAACAGTTAATGGTTGGTTTGTTAGTTAATGGCCCAAGGCAAAGCTGAAAGCAGTTAAGCCTCTAACAAACTGGTTGTGAATTATGGCAACAATGGTTTTGCTGGGGATTTTCCCCCCCATATTATATATTGCATATGATAGTTTATGATAGAAATAATGTATTTTTAAAGACAATAGTGTTTACACAGGATGTTATTGGAAATGTCAGGTGTTTCAAGGAAATAAAAGATCCATTTTCTACCTATGAAGAAGAGAAATATGCACTTTTAAATATATATAGTATACATATTATACATGTATATTGTACATAAATGTCATATTAAATATAAAAGATACGTTATACATATTATATATAATATATTAGAGACTATGTATAATACATGAGACTGTTTGTCAGTTTGGAAATTTCTATATCATTGACAGTCCACAGACTACATATGTGTGCACATACACATACATGTATACACATAGATGTATAGGCACATATATATTCATACGTATATATACTTTATATACACACACACACAAACACACAAAACTTCAGTCTTTTGCCCAATTTCCTCTGTACATATTTCAGTGAACTGGTAAGGAGAAGAAAGGACATGAGAAAAAGCCTGCACAGTTGGCAAATCAGGTCATCCCAGTGTTTTACAAACATAAATCCTTCGCTTTACCTGAAATCATCAAGGCCATCATTAAGTTCCTTAACCTGAGATCTTGTACCACACTGTTTGTTTTGCACCATAATCTCAGAATTAAGTCCTTTGTCAGTAATGCTTTCTGCTAAAGGCCAGAGTACTTGCTATAACCAG